GAGAGGACAGACAGACACTCAGTGGTCCAGCAGTGGAGAGGACAGACACTCAGTGGTCCAGCAGTGGAGAGGACAGACAGACATTCAGTGGTCCAGCAGTAGAGAGGACAGACAGACACTCAGTGGTCCAGCAGTAGAGAGACATTGAGCGTTTGGGAATTGACCCTGGATTCAGGCCCCGCACGCACCAATTCCCAACTGTATAACCTTTATTGGCTTCGCTTCCTCCTCTCCATCGTCTACACCGTGTGAACAGTGAGGCTGACTCACGTGTTCCTTAGTTATATGATACAACTTGGGCTGAGGGATGGGAGGTGCCCCAGGCAGCTCGACTTGGGTTCACACATAGATTTGGAGTTTTGTTCCCGGCTCACAATAGTGTGACCTGGACCACCATCTCTTACTCAGGTCTGAACTTCAGTGTCTCACTGCGATGCCTCCACTGAAGCCAGGAGCACAGGAAGGCACATCACACCCTTGAATGCACTCTGAAGAAAGCGTGCTTGAAGCTGGAGATGTAGGTTATCTGACAGGGTGCTTGCCTAGCTTGTCCGAAGCTCCAGGTTCAAGCTCCCCAGCCATAGAAACTGGGTATAATAGCACCCACCTGGAATCTCAACACTCAAGAGGTGGAGATAAAAGTTCAGCAGCTCAAGAACATCCTCATTTACATAGCAAATTCAAGGCCAGCCTGGGCTACATGATGCCATGTCTAAAAAAGAAAGTGTACTCAGAAGAAAGCAAGAGCTAGAAAGGGGCACTTACTCAGCAGGAAGACACCACGTCCTAGGGAAAAAATGGAAGTCCTTAGGAAACAGCTTTAGCATCCGGCTCATATTCCGGGCCAGCAAGTCTTTGCGGCAGATCTCACTCATCCCAGGAAAATGATTGATTTTCTGCAAAGGAAACCAGAATTCATGAGCAATTCTGGCTGAGTGGAAGCAGGGCTATGGGAGTGTACCATGAGCTCCCTTGAAGAGCCAGCAATCCACATGGGGCCGGCGTTGGGAGACGCCACCCATCCAGGGAGGGACACACCTGGTAACTCTTCATTTCCATCACTCGCTCCAGCGACACTGAGAAGTCCGTCCAGTAGAGAGTCCAGTCATCATTGTCTCCCGCCTCTCGAAGGCCATACTGCTGGGCCGCCCTGCGCACTGTGAAGGAGATGAAGAAAGTCCGTGAAGCACAGAAGCAGGAACGCGCTCCTGTGGGGAGGTCTCTTTCCTACGCATCCCAGACCAAGTATTGCTACAGGAGAGCTGGCTCCTTGGGACCGGAAGCCACCTCGCCTTGTGGACAGGGCAAAGGAAGAGTAGAGAATGGAATTGTTGTTGAAGGATACATCCTGGCTATATGGGATGAATGTTAGGACTGACCTGTCTTCCCTTTCCCAGGGAGCAGGCTTGCCTCCAGACACTAAGCTCTGCATGTGAACCAATCCTTAACTATAACCTAGAGCCAGGTTTAATCAGTGAGGTAAATTGGTGGGGGGAAATAACATTTGACACAATGAGTCTAGCCTGAGCTACTTAGTAAAACCCTACCACAAATACATGCACAAATAAATAAGTCTAAGGGTGGTGATCACCACTGTGGCCCCGGCCGTGACCTTTAGAGTGAGATTATCAGTTTCCTCTAACGGTTTACGGAGCCAGGAGAACCAAGGATCTGGAGAGCCTGTTTCTCACCCTGGGGCACACACAGGAGGGATCTATTCCCACCCTTCCATCTCCATCACAGGTCCCTTGACCACAGATGCTCACTCACCACTGTCGTAGCGGCAGTTGGATAGATTAATCACCAATCATCTGGAAAAGAAAAAGGCAGACAGCAAGACAGAGACAGATACCCTGACCAGAACACAGGGCTGGGACCAGACACGCATGCCCCAGCTGCCACACTAAGCCTGCAGGGCCTGCCCATCCCATCACTACGAATGAGGTTGCAAAGGGGTGTAGGACCATGGGCTTGTAGGCCTGTCATTATTTATATAGTCTGTTATTATTTGTACATACTTATACATTCTGTTATATATTTACTACAATCAGGGTAAATTTTGTTCGGCTTCATGTCAACATCATTGCCATAGCCACCCCCTTTTTAATTTTGTCAGCAATGGGATTTGAACCCAGGGCCTCCCACCTGAAAGGTAAGCACTCTTAACTCTACGCTGCACTCCCAGCGGCCCCTGTGCTTTTTTATTTTTTACATCACCAGCCAAACAGGGACAGGAATTTTAAAAGTCACACATTCATTTCTGGCTAAAATATCGTCCCCTTCTTCTCTCCCCACTAAGGGAAGCTATTTAGAAAGTAGACAAGCTCTCGGCCAGGCACAGCCGAGTGGTAACCGGGCACCAGGATGCACGAGCGGCAGCAGGCAGGCCTGCTAAGTCACCGGGGTCCTGTTACACCCGAGGATGTGAAATTCCCAGGACTCACGCGCGCTTACACTTCGGAAGGGAAACGGTTCCTACTCCTTCAGCACGGAGCTCCCTCCCCACCCAGTCTTTAAAAAGCATTTAAACACAAATAGAACAAAAATCAGAACAAGGTGTGACTCCAGGTTACACACACTATTATGGGATTCCATAAAACAGAACACTCAAAGTGGCTTCTTTTATGTGAACTGAAAGTAGTGTGATCTTGACAAGCCAAGCCCACGGTGTCTCCTTTTCCTCTCATCAGCCAAGGCCCTCTTCCCTCCGGTCCCTCCGGTTCTTCTTATCAACACTGATCTGCACCCCACCCCCCCAACTCCTCGTTTTCCAATACTAACCTTTTTTTCTTCCTCTTCTTCTTGCCATGCTGCGGGGTGTTCTGAAGCTTCTTTTGTGTGTTCTCTTTCACAAAAGCCAGGGTGACAAATTCTTCTAGCTCTTCTAGGTCTTCTGCAGAACTCTCCTCCCTCTCTTCGGCCCCTTCCTCACTTTCCGAAGTCAGGCACTGCAGCATCTTCCTGGCCCCGGAGGAGGCTCCGGAGCACCGCCAGCCCTCCCTGGAGAGAGGGCAGAGCGAAGAGCAGTTGCGTGGTTCCACCTGCAGGGGGCCCTCCTCCCGTGCTCATGTGGGAGTTTATAAACGTGCACCCCCTTCCAACCACACTCTCGGTGCCCTTAGAGAGAGAGCTAATTCCACCTTTGCCAAGGACTCTGACCTTGGGGATGCACTTAGCCAACCCTGGCCTTGGTTTTGGCCATCTGGGGTTTTCAGAGAGAGGCTGAGCTGCTCAGCTGGGTACCACCTGGTAAACAATCTTATTATTACAGTGAGTGTGTGTCTGGAGACGGCCTCAGAACTAAGCCTCAAGCCTTCCTAGCTGAGGTACTGAGTCCCGGGGGTGCACCGGAGGCGGGCTGAGGTCTGTTAACCGTTGCGGTGCTACATTCGGTCTCCCACACAGCAAGACGCAGGCATGAATTAAGGCACGTCGGAGGTTGTAAATCAATAGATGTGGGTACTGGGGACGGAACCCAGATCCCCTGGAGAACTAGTGCCCGCTCTGAACTGCAGAGACATCTCTCCAGCCCCCGAGTGTGTGTGTGTGTGTGTGTGTGTGTGTGTGTGTGTGTGTGTGTGTGTGTGTATCCAGTGTTGAGCATCCACAGCTCCTTAGGAACACACTTAGGCCACTTCTGTGTCACCCAGGTCTTCAGGCCCATTCAGACCACACCCCTCGCAGGCAAGGCTCCTATGGTCATAAAGCCCATTTCCCAGAGCGCCCACTCCCTCCCCGTCTTCCCGCTCCCACAACCTCGTCACTCCAGCCCCTCTCCCTTGATGGCCACAGGCCTTCTGCTGCTTACCACCTGTTCTGTCCACACACACTCTTTGGATTAAAAGAAAAAAATTATTATCATTCAGATTATTATTGAAATCATATCAAAGAAGGACTTAAAAATAGGAGGGTAGCCAGGAGATGGTGGCGCACGCCTTTGATTCTAGCACTCGGGAGGCAGAGGCAGGCAGATGTCTGTGAGTTTGAGGCCAGCCTGGTCTACATAGCTAGTTCCAGGACAGCCAGGACTATACAGAGAAACCCTGTCTCAAAACACACCAATAACAACAACAAAAGTCGCCTGTGGCTTGCCTACTCTAACAAAGCAACTTTGCCTTGGCTATGAATTCTCTTTAATTCTTAAATTCTAATTGTAATCATTCTGACATCATCTTACCCATTTCATAGCTTCTTTCTGACCATTTAATATCATACCATAAAGGGACATTTATTTTGGCAAAATTTGCATGTCGCTAGGTATATTTATTTTTGCTCTTTTTTTCTTTTCAGTCTGTATATGTGTTAGAGAAAAATGTGTAGGAATCGGTTCTCTCCTGTTACATGGGTTCTGGAATCAGGCTTCTCGTGAAGCATGCTCACCTGCGCAGCCATCTCTATGACCAGCATGTTCCTGGGTTTTGTTTTGTTTTGGTTTTTGGTTTTTTGAGACAGGGTTTCTCTATGTAACAGTCCTGGCTGTCCTGGATCTCACTCTGTAGACCAGGCTGGCCTCAGATTCACAGAGATCCGCCTGGCTCTGCCTCCCGAGTGCTGGGATTAAAGGCATGCGCCACCACCGCCCGGCATGTTCCCGGTTTTTAAGGGCTATGAAACATTCCATGGAAGGGCTGTGTTTAAAGGAGACCAAGCCTTGCCTTACTACTGGACATAACAGTTGCTTCCCATTTTGATATTATCTAAACATCCTAAAACACATTTTCAAGCTGAGGATGATGGCTAGGGTCTGGCTACTAGGGAAGCTGAGGCAGAAGGATTACTGAGCCTAGAGAGACACCCCCCTCCCCAATCGCCTAAAGGAAAAAAAAAACAAGAAACACATTTTCATGTAGAGAGGGACTTTTACTTCTTTGGGGATTGTTCTCTCTTGTCTGTCTGTCTATTTGAGACAGTGTCTCACTGTGTAGCCCAGGCTAGCCTCCAACTCAATTCTCCTTTCTCATTCCCACAAATGTCAGAGTTACAGGTACGTACCCCCTACACCCAGCTTTTGAGAGTGATTCTTGCACCTGTAATTCCCAGCACTTGGCAGGTGGATGCAAGAGGGTCAGGAGTTCAAGATCATCCTCGGTGAATTCAGTTAGAGGCCAGCCTGGACTACATGAGACTGTCTTCAAAAGACAATATTAAGGGATTGAATGGCTCAGAAGATTGTGCAGCTTCTGATGTGTGTGTGTGTGTGTGTGTGTGTGTGTGTGTGTGTGTGTGTGTGTTCACCATGTTATATCCCACGGGAATTTTAACAATTTCAGCTAACTACCTCCAGCAATAGGCGATTATAGCAGCGTCTCCAGAGCCACCGGCTCTCTTAGGAATCACCTCCCTTTTCCATCCAAACTTGCTAATTCTAGACAACACCTACACTCCACGGCCGTGACTTTGACACCACACCGCCCTTACACTCCCACGCCCTTTTCCTGAACCTAACCTGGTGGTGACGGGTAGAGTTCTAAGTACGAGAGCTACCTATGAATAATTCAACAATAACCCTTCATGTGACATAGTTCTGTGGCTTTGCCAAGGATTTTCAAATACACGTTCTTAGTAAATGCTCACCACCACCCTGGGAAGGAGGGCAGAACTGTTGCGCTGGCCAGGGATCGTGCTTACTTCTTCCCACTTGGAAACATGGCTGCCCTCAGGACAAAGAACAGAGAAAACCTCTGCCGGCTGTGTGAGTCAGTGTTCCCAGGGAACTTGGCAACGTCCGAGAGAACTGGGGAACATCGAGTCTTGGCCTTGGGCTGCTCCCTTCCTCACAGGTAAACGACCGGGTCCCCTCCCCGGGCCTTCAACAATGCTCTCTTTACCAAGCCCGTGTACAGGAGTGGCTCGTTTACCTAAAGGTTAATGTTAACTTGGGGAGAAACTGACCCCGATTTTGAACTCTGGAACCATGGGTTGTTGGTGCCTTTTTTAGGGCCTTGCCCAAGTGGGAAGAGTAAATCACGTCTGCCTCAAAGAGAAGAACATGATGGCATTAACAAAAGGAAACAATCAAAAAAATGCAGTTGTGGGGTTGAAAACCGTGACTTCTAGGCCAGTGTGACTTAAATGATAAGACTAAGGCCCTGCTGCAAACACGAAGTCCAGTTCTGTTTGCTCTCGTGTGACAGAGCCCCAGCACACCCAACAAGCAAGAGACCAAACCTATGCACTTTTAGGGCAATGGGTCCTCATGTCTTCTTGTCCCCATCCTGCCTGTCCTGTTCTCCAGCCTCCATACAAGAGCCACCTAGGTGGAACCTGAAACAGGTGCGGGATGGCAAACAGCAGTCCTTGCTACATGTGAATTAGCTTGGCTTTGGCCTTGGTCCCTTTCCTTTCTCTCTTCAGATTGACTGATTTTCATTTTATGCGTACAGGTGTTTTGCGTGTATCTGTGTTTGTGCAGCACATATGTGCAGTGCCTTCGAAGGCCAGAGGAGGGCAGCAGATCCTCTGGAGCTGAAGTTACAGATGGATGTTGGCTGCCACATGGAGGCTGGGACCCAAACCGGGATCCTGGACACCCAGCCCGTGGTGGTGGTTGTTTCCCGCCTCCAGTTCCCGAGAGTTAGGATTATAGGTGTGAGCCACCATTTCCCCTCACATTTCCCTCACCCTCCGCACCCTGTTTCATGTCCAAGGCCGAATCCTGCTGCCTTCTCTCCAAACACTCCTGAAAGAACATCTTAAAACATTGCCTGTTGCAGACTTGCACCCCAAATCTGGCCTGCAGAAACATCCCCCAGCCCACAGGAGGGTGTGGTCATTGCTACAGGTGCTCATTAGGAGTACTTGCCAAGAAGTTGAAAATGCACATTTCTTTTTTTTTTGTTTTTTTTTTTCTTTTTTTTTCGAGACAGGGTTTCTCTGTGTAGCTTTGCGCCTGTCCTGGGACTCACTTGGTAGCCCAGGCTGGCCTCGAACTCACAGAGATCCGCCTGC